ACCCATTTTCACTGTGGCGCGGGAGCTGGGAAAGTCCCTGACCGGGCAGGCTATTCGTCGCGGGACCCAGAGATCCCGCTCGCAACCACCGACCCACTTGCTGGGGAAAAAAAAATGGAAGAATCGGTATCGCGGCACTATCTAAATATACCTTCCTGATGGCTGCATATACACCCCATATCCGAAATCCCCTTCAAAAACTATCTAAATACCTGCCCGATAGCTTTAGATACCCCCCATGGCTGAAACAAATTTTAAACGATTTAAATAATAAATTAACATAATTAAAAAGTATTAAAAAGTATTAAAGTAACTTAAAAAAGCTATCTGGGCGCGCGAAGGGCCTGGGGAAGAGGGGCGAAGGGCAAGGGGGGCGTGGCCTCCCGGGAGAGGGGCCCCCACTCATTTTATTAAGGCGCCACTTTCAAAGTTAATTTTAATAATTTAAACTAAAACTTTTTCATAATTTTTTTATCAGTTTGGGGGTTTCTGACCGCGCTCTATCCGAATCCGAAGAGAGCTAAGCTCTAGCTCTTTTCCCCTTCGAGTTGAATTCGGCTTCAGACGGACGGACGGACGGACGGACAGAGACCACAGCAAAATTATTATAGTTGACAAGAAGATTGGCCGCATCACTGCCGTGCCCCCTCAAAACACCGAGCGTTTCGCCCTGCGCATGATGCTGCTGTACGGAAAAGGATACCGATCGTATGAGGACGTGCGCACGGTTAACGGGACGATCTATCCAACATTCGTGGAAGCGGCCCGTGAGGCCGGATACCTTACCGATGATGTCTGTTTTGAGCAAGCCCTGGATGAAGCTGCCGGCTTCCGGATGCCGCGCTCCCTACGATCGTTCTTCGCATCGCTGTTGTGCTTCGCCGATCTTTTCCCCCCAAAGCCTGACGAACTCTGGGAGCGGTACAAGGATCAGTTCTGCGAAGACTTCCTCCACCAAGGACACGCGCCGCACGTTGCTGAATCGCTGGCCTTTCACGACATCTGCGACCGCATCGCCGACGCTAACCGGCGACCCGAGATCTTCTTCAGGGAGATACCGGCTCGGCTCAATCCAGATAATCCGCCGCCGGATTACGATGCCCACCGAAGGATCGGCCAGGAGATGTACGCCAAATTGAACGCCGAGCAGAAGGTCGTCGTTGATGCCGTCCTCGGCGCCCTGCAAGGCCGTTTGCCGAATCCAAGAACCTGCCACTTCATTGATGGTCCCGGAGGCAGCGGCAAGACCTTTGTCTACAAGACCATTTACCACCTCGCGGTCGCCGACAAGAAGCAGATCCTCAACGTCGCCTGGACAGGTAATTTTTTCAAATCTTGTGGTTTTTTAATCTTTAAACCTGCTAATTTTTATTTTTAGGCATTGCTGCCGCGCTCTACCCGATGGCAAGACGGTCAGCTCTGCCTTCCAGTTGTCAATCGTCGACCACACCTCGATGCTCAAGAACCAGGACAAGAAATCTCAAGAGTTGCGAAAGGTCTGATTAGATTCGGTTTTTTTTTGTTTTGGTGTCTTTTCAACAAACGTGTTTTTCAGGTTGATGCCGTCATCTGGGATGAAGCGCCGATGGCCCCGAAGAAGGCGCTGGAAGCGATCGACGAGAAGCTGAAGGATCTGATGGGCAACCAGGCCCCGTTCGGCGGCAAGCTCTTTCTGCTCGGCGGCGATTTTCGCCAAGTTCTCCCCGTTGTGGAGCGCGGAAGTCGTCGGGACATGGTCGACGCGACCATAAAACGCTCCCGACTCTGGCCGGAATTCGAGCGGCACTCCCTCAAATCGAACATGCGAGTGGCAGGCAACGACCAAGGCTTCAAGGATTGGCTGTTGAATATTGGCGATGGGATCGACGGACACGAAGGACAAATCGATGTGCCAGCCTCGATGGCCGTCCAGGATAACCTCGCAGGTCACATCTTTGGCCCTGCATTCAACGGAGAGCCTATCGATCTTTCCGATCGCGCGATTCTATCGCCCAAAAATGCCGACGCGCTAGACATCAACAACGAAGTTTTGGAAGCAATGCCGGGGCAAACTACCACTTTCATCAGCCAGGACGACGTGGAGTCCGACAATCCGAGCGACGGTTACCGGTACCCGCCCGAGTTCCTCAACAACATCGTCTGTGCCGCCCTTCCACCGCACAAACTGAACCTGAAGGTCGGATGCATCGTGATGTTGCTCCGCAATCTATCGGTGAAGGACGGCCTGTGCAATGGAAGCCGAATGTATGTGCGAGCTATTGGCCAACGCGTGCTGACGTGCGAATTGGCAACTGGCGACCGGAAGGGCGAAATGGTGCTGATCCCTCGGATCGATTGTCGCTACCAATACGAAAAGAACCTGTTCAAAGTCGTCCGTCGACAGTTCCCCGTCCGGTTGAGCTACGCTATGACGATCAACAAGTCGCAAGGGCAAAGCTTCGATCAAGTTGGACTGGCCCTCCACGAACGGATCTTCTCCCATGGCCAATTGTATGTGGCGCTCTCAAGATCTCGCACTCGCGCCGGCATACACATCGACTCACCAACCAAGCAAATGGACAATATCGTCTTTAAAGAAGTTTATGATGCCTAATTTTTGTGCCATTTTTTGTTTTGATAAATAATTGTGCTTTGAATTTGCGTCGCGCTTTCGGAACCAAACCGTTTTAACGGTATTGCTATCTTTTCATATTAATGCCTGCAACTGTAATGGTGCCCACGCAAAGGCCAGATGATTAAAGCCACGAAGTGGCTTTAATCATCTGGTTTTCGTTATAACTCGAGAATGACTGTAGCTACAGCGCTAAAAGTCAGGATTGTTGTTATTTAGGGTCTGATACACCTCTCATCCAAATTTGGGGCCGATTGGTTGTAATACGGCGAAATGCCAGATGGGTCGTTTTTTTTGGGACACCCGGTATATGCGAGTAAGATACCTTCCCGATGACGCGCACCAGGCGAAGACGTTTGTCTGTCATATGCATGGAGTCTTCGACGAGGGCCATCGGGAATTCATCTTCAAATGCGGCTATATCCATGTCGGTAGTGTGAGGAATTACGGCACATTCGCGACGCCAACCTGAAAAATATCGATAACGTTCGAGACAGTTCACATTCATACCTAGTAAAGTACCACTAATCAAGAATGGCAGTGCCCGGTACTCGAAGTGCAGATCGCGCATGACGGACAGCCAGTAGACGTCTTCCGGGATCATAATTGGCGGCTCGGTCGTGTTTCGAAGGTTTGTTACTAAATTCTGTTAAGAAAAAACATGCTCTCCTACAATTCAGACATCCAATCATCCTAGATCCGGCCCAGAGTCGAGCGTGGAATGCGTCGTCCCGTGGAACGAAGGTATTCCCCTTTTTGGTGTAGGCACTCCTGAAAGGTTCGCGCATTCATAGAGCTGCGTAGCGTACTTTGGCATAAGCCGGAGGTCGGAGATGTTCTCGGGGCGGAAGATCTCGAAGAAGTCGTTTGAAGGGGAGTTGATAAAGAAGAGCAGCTCGGCATACGGGCTTGCTAAAGAAAAACAGTTGTGAAGAGAGAGAGAGAGAGAGAGAGAGAGAGAGAGAGAGAGAGAGAGAAGGAGAGGGGTGAGCAAGGGACTTACACTCCTTCATTTTCTTCAAATCGTCGATCGTCTGGTCCTCCCCCACCTCGACGGCCACCATAAACAGTTCGGGCTGCCCCGTAAAGAGTTCTCGAGTGTATGGACCGTCTGAAACACGAGATGAAAAAAGCCCGCGAAAACTCGCCAAGGATGATCATCTTCGGTGTGCGCGTCCGGTCTTCCTCCGAGATCAGCTCTCGGAGAGGAACATTCGGGCGGTAGTAGTTCATCTTGGAGGAGTTCAGGGCAAGATCTGACGTTGGGACAACTGGAATGACGGTATCAATGCACTCTTTCTCTCTCTCTCTCTCTCTCTCTCTCTCTCTCTCTCGCCTCTGCTTTAACAGCATCATTCGCCATAAAAACCAACTAGCTGCCCGCTGTCGCAAGTGCACAAGGTAGCCGACGGCGCCGAGCAGGATGAGCGCATAGACAAGGGGGCGTTTTAGCACGAGGTTCGGCATCTGAATATGTGCTATTACCAGCGCTGACCCGCCGCTACGCGGGGTTTCGGCGCTGGCCTTCCCCCCACAAAAAAAATTTTTGGATTTGGAATTTGAATGCAAAATTTGGCTGAATTCCCGGTCGGTCGGTCGGCGGGCGTACGGACATTAGAAATTTATATATAGTAGATATGAATGGCATTAATTACCATAAGGAGACGCTCAGCCTCAGAGCAGCCAAACAGCAATGTCGATTTTGCCAGTAATAGAATGCTCGGGCCATGACGTCAAGATTATTCTAATCTAAAGTCGAGAGTTATGCTTTGGGATTCAAATTATACTTAGATATGCTAATATGTAGAAATCAATCGGAGACTTGTCCTACCTTATATAATTTGGGCGCGTATCTTTCTTTGTGTGTATGTGGGGGGCCTTTGAGGGCCTTTTCTCTGTCACCCGGGGGTATCAACCCTCCTCTTTTCGATTGGGTTTTCAGAATTTCGATAAAGTACAAGTTTACAAACTTAAAGCCGGTTTGACTCTTAGTATATTTTTTTGATGCTTTATCGAATGGCGTATCGGAAATGTCCAAGAAATAGTGAAAATATTTTTGTTTTTGCGATAACTATTGCATATTGCAATATTTTATGAATCCTGTGGAAGAATTGTATCTTATATGTGGAAGAAAACGTAAAAAATAATTTAGAAGACTTTCGTTGACTTCGATTGGAAAAATTGGATACTAGAGAAAAAGTTTCACCCCGACCCCTCGCCCCCCCCCCGTTAATGCAAAAGCACCCAAAATCGATTTATTTGCAGTACACAAACAATACACAAGCAAGATGACGCCGACAAGAATATTCATTACAAAAACAGAAAGAGGGCTGTTGAGATCAGGGAATGGTCGTAGCTGAACATTTGAAGGATTGTCGGCTGGCCATCAGAAGAAGCGCACCAGCTCCGCACTGAAATTCGAAAAAGAGATTTCGAAAAACCTAAAAATCAGGCCCATACCCTTTCGTGCCATAGTTGCCGTTCCAGACGAGGTTGGGCCCGTAGCGGTAGCCCTTGCTGGGTCGATCAGCGGTCCAATTCTTGCCATAGTCAGCCTGAAGTTTTTGGTATTTTGGATCGATATGAAACGATTTATACCTCGAGAATTGCGTCCGGATCGCAGGGCACGTGGAAGACGTAGCCGTGCAGGTTGGCCGTGCAGAAGTCGGCCTCAAACCTGTAGAGAACGGGATAATTTCAGGAATTCCAGCAATAATCCCACAACCAAAATCTTGGCATATTCCTGATGCTAATTCGAGTTCTACACACGCGGTGTCACCTTAAAAAAAGATCACGCTATTCGCCTGCTATGATTGTGGTCTGGCGGGGTTTCGACTGTCGGCATTTTGCCTCTCTAGATTTCGGCGTGACCGGATCTTGCCTCAGAGCGAGCTCACCTGTCGGGATTTTGACATTTCCCTCCCCATATATTGCCGAAAGGGGAAAAGTCCAAAATGCAGACACCCAAAACGCAGAATGCTAAAACGCAGACAGCCAAAACGCAGACAGCCAAAACGCAGACAGGACAAAACGCAGACAGCCAAAACGCAGACAGCCAAAACGCAGACAGCCAAAACGCAGACACTGAATATGCTGACACCGAATATGCAGATACCTGATTCACCTAATTCGACAGCGATGACAACTTTCGCATAGCTTCGCATCATCCCAAAATCTCAAATTCTCAAACATCCCAAAAATGATCATCGCCTGTGATTGTATCAGCAGTTGTATTTCCGATGGGACGAATAAAGTGTTGAGTTATGAGATGGTTTTGGCTGTTTGCATATTCAGTGGTGTCAGCATATTCAGTGTCTGCGTGTTGACTGTCTGCGTTTTGGCTGTCTGCGTTTTGGCTGTCTGCGTTTTGTCCTGTCTGCGTTTTGGCTGTCTGCGTTTTGTCCTGTCTGCGTTTTGGCTGTCTGCGTTATGGCTGTCTGCGTTATGGCTGTCTGCGTTTTGAATTTCGGTGTTCCGGCTGGAATTCTGCCGAAAGAACCAAATATTTAGTTAGGTTACACACCATGGATACTCGTCTCGATACTTCTTGTATGCTGGCGGGCCGTAGACGATCGTCGTGTAGCAGCAGCGTTTCGCCGGGTCGCGATACATGGTGAACAGGTCGATGGTGAACGTCGTGCCGCGCTGCGTCGTTACCGAAAACGTCGCCTCGTAGCTGTCGCCTGGCTGGAAATTGAATTATTGGAGAGAGCACGAATATGCTAGTAAGGTACCTTCCCGATGACGCGGTGCAGACGGAGGCGCTCTCCCCTCATGTTGATGGCGTCTTCAATTAATGCCATCGGGAATTCATCCTCAAATGTGGCAATGTCCATATCGGTAGTGTGAGGAATTAACGCGCATTCGCGACGCCAACCTGAAAAATATCGATAACGTTCGAGACAGCCCACATTCATACCCAGTAAGGTACCACCCAACACGAATGGTAGTGCCCGGTACTCGAAATGCAGATCGCGCATGACGGACAGCCAGTAGACGTCTTCCGGGATCATAACTGGCGGCTCGGTCGTGTTTCGAAGGTTTGTTACTAAATTCTGATAAGAAAAAACATGCTCTCCTACAATTCAGACATCCAATCATCCTAGATCCGGCCCAGAGTCGAGCGTGGAATGCGTCATCACGTGGCACGAAGGTATTCCACTCTTTGGTGTAGGCACTCCTAAGATACCCTGGCATTAATAGAGCTTCGAAGCGTACTTTGGCATGAGCCGGAGGTCGGAGATGTTCTCAGGGCGGAAGATCTCGAAGAAGTCGTTTGAAGGGGAGTTGATGAAGAAGAGCAGCTCGGCATACGGGCTTGCTAAAGAAGCAAATATGAGAGTGAGAGAGAGAGAGAGAGAGAGAGAGAGGGAGAGAGAGGGAGAGAGAGGGAGAGAGAGCGCGGGAGAGAGCGGGAGATAGAGAGAGAGAGAGAGAGAGAGAGAGAGAGAGAGAGAGAGGGTGTGCAAGGGACTTACACTCCTTGACCTTCTTCAAGTCGTCGATCGTCCGGTCCTCCCCCACCTCGACGGCCACCATAAATAGTTCGGGCTGCCCCGCAAAGAGTTCTCGAGTGTATGGACCGTCTGAAAAACGAGATGAAAAAAAAGCACGCGAAAACTTGCCAAGGATGATCAGCTTCGGTGTGCGCGTCCGGTCCTCCTCCGAGATCAGGTCTCGGAGAGGAACATTCGGGCGGTAGTAGTTCATCTTCGAGGAGTTCAGGGCAAGATCTGACGTTGGGCCAACTGGAATTACGGTATCAAGGCTCTCTCTCTCTCTCACTCTCTCTCTCTCCCTCTCGTCTCTGCTTTAACATCATCATTCGCCATAAAAACCAACCAGCTGCCCGCTGTCGCAAGTGCACAAGGTAGCCGACGGCGCCGAGCAGGATGAGCGCATAGACAAGCGAGCGTTTTAGCATGAGGTTCGGCATCTGAATATGTGCTATTATATGAATGGGATTAATTACCATAAGAAGACGCTCAGCCTCAGAGCAGCCAAACAGCAATGTCGACCTTACCTGTGATAGAATTCTCAGGCAATGGCGCCAAGATGATGCTAATCAAAATTTTCGACAGCTAGGCTTTCGGATGCAAATTTTACTTAGATATGCAAAATTGTAGAAACCAATCGGAGACGTGTACCAAATGAATTTGAATTCCAACCCCTCCTCCTCAACAGCCAACTCTCATCGCCTTTTGATTGCCGTTTTTTCTTTGCCGCCAAAGCGACTTATTCACCAGCTCAATCATCACTTCACACACCTTATTCTTGTGAAGCTGCAACCCCTTTGCGTATTCGAAAAACATTATCGCGTTCTAGAGAGCCGGTTAGCCTCTCAGGTCATCGGGTCCACCCGAAATCCGGTCGGCATTTTCTTGCGAAATCGATCGGAATTCCAGTAGCGGACGCGACCGGATTCCACGTGAAAATCGACCGGATTGCGGGTGGACGCACGGTAAATCAGTTGGAAATCGACCGAATCCGCCCGGTTTCCACTCGATTTCCACTTGCCGCCTCGCGTGCGGCACGCGTTGCGTCGTGTTTCCACTCGATTTCCTGTGCTTCCACCCGAAATCCAGCCGATTTCCATGCCCCAAATCCATGTGGAATACAACCGGATTTTGGGTGGACCCGAGGACCTGACAAGGGAACCACCTAAGGTCAAGGTGGCATTTCGTTATGGGACCCAGCCTATTTTGTGTAGAATTTTTTGCTGATTCCGAACCCGCTTTCAATTTTTGCTAAATAGCCCAATTTAAAAAGTTATAGCGATTTTAAGGTCATATCTGTGCCCGCGGGAAGTCATCTGTCACGATGCCCAACTTTTTTATTTTAATAGGACAGTCGGTTTTTAATAGCCTATCTTGTAGAGAATTTTTTTTCTGATTCGATTGGTATATTTCATTAGTGCGCTACGATCTATCGGCGACCACTTACGGGGGTGTGAAATAGGCAATTTTTCACCATTTCCCATACAAAAAACGGAGTCCATACCAAGTATCGTCGATTTTTTCAATTTTCAACAATTTTGAGTTAAATAGTTCATTCGATAAAGAAAATTTTTCTGAATACGATGGCGATATTCGTTTTTGAGGAATCAGACGGGAAAGGCAAGATAAATGACTTTGAAGTTCGAAAATTTGGGAAAAAATGGAACTTTGAAACGCTATAACTTTTTAAATTGGGCTATTTAGCAAAAAATAAAAGCGGATTCGAAATCAGCAAAAAATTCTGCACAAAATAAGCTGGGTCCCATAACGAAACGCCACCTTGACCTTAGGTGGTTCCCTTGTGAGCTCGTTGTTAAGTATCCTGATGAACCGAAACTCAAAATTTATAAAAAGTTGGAAAATTGGCCATCTACAGGGTGGCCAGAAAAAAAAGTGCCAAGGAAATCCAGCCCCTACCTAGCGGTCCGCAGTCGATTCCGATTTTTACGATTTAGGTATCTATCGAAGCTCTCGAAAAGGCGAGTGTAGCATCTTATCCCGCTCCTCAAATTTTTAAAGTTTTCTTGCATTTACTAATTTTTTCGTAAAAAATGCGGATGATGTGATGCTTTTCTGACTCAAAGGTACCCAAAAATCACAATTTAAGACTTCTTATGTTTTTCCTGGCAGGGTAACGACAGCTTTTTGGAAGCCATTTACCGAAAATACAGCTTGGTTAGCGCTCAAACCGGTTAAATTGAGTTTTGCCGAAAAAGCGCGACATTTTTGAGCGAAAAAAGCCGAAAATCGAGTAAAAAATTCGGACATTGCAAAAATCGGTAAGACGTGCTGTACTCGCCTTTCCGAGAGTTTTTGATAGATACCTAAATCGTAAAAATTCAAGGGCTTTCGAATGGTGTAGCTATCATTCCGATGCGATACTTCTACGTCGCGTTAAAGGGGTGTTTTTATTGGAACACCCTGTACATCCTAGAAGTACCGTACAGGTAAGGCATATTCAGTGCATTTTTTGCGCCATCCAATCGCTCAACACCATTTATTGGTCGTACACAAAAGAGATACGAAAAATGAGACCATACAAAAATGTTACTATCACAACCGGAGACACACTTTTAGGAATTGTTAGGGTGAGCTGCTGGAGGACTGGATGAGGACGGTTAGAAGCGGATGAAGGTCGAGCTGAAATGAGAGGGTATGGACATGATAGAGAGAGAGAGAGAGAGAGAGAGAGAGAGAGAGAGAAAGATAAAGTGAAAGCGAAAGATATGGAGATAGGAGAGAGAGAGAGAGAGAGAGAGAGAGAGAGAGAGCGAAAACGAAAGAGAGAGAGAGGTCCGATTCTTACTCATTTATCCGGAAATTGTCGTTGGGGACGACGTTGTGCCCGTAGCTGTAGACCTTTGTCGGCCGGTCGACGGTCCAGTCCTTTCCATAATCAGCCTGAAATTTTCATTCTACATAATGTCGAAAATTAGTATGATCAAATTTATAGCGGCAAACTTTGCTAATATCGAGCAGCCAGAACATCGACATTTTGGTTAAATAAGGGCGGAAATCAATATTATTTTTTGTATTCTTTAAGGACATTTTTGAAAGTTTTTAAGCTTCTGGATAGTAACGAACAGCTGAGAAACACTTCAGCTATTTATATTGAAAAAATTGGTTCCTAATAAAAACTTTTTTGTAATTGGTAAAATTTTTGGTAAGCTCCCCCAGCCGGCACCCAACTTTTGTATCTCGGCTCCCTATTCATCTACAGGTATGTAAACTATAGCAAAATGTTCGTCTTGCTGTGGCGAGAATTTTCGTATACTTTACACACCTGTAGATGAACAGGGAGCCGAGATACCGTAGGTGGAGGTCGGCTGGGGGGGGGGGGGGGGGGGGGTTATCTGGAGTTTGGCCAAATTTTTACGCTTAGAAATCATAAAACCGCGTAGAAAGACCGAATTCGGCATTTGACAAGAACACGTTTTCCAACATTTCCAACCTCCAGAAGCGCGTCCGGATCGCAGGGCACGTGGAAGACGTAGCCGTGCAGGTTGGCCGTGCAGAAGTCGGCCTCAAACCTGAGGGGAAAACCGGAGAATTGAAATACCCGCTACGCAACATACCACGGATACTCTTCGCGGTACTTTGCGTGTACGGACTTGCTCTGCGATATGATGAGGGTGGTGTAGCACTTGCGCTGTTTTGGGTCACGATACATCGTGAACATGTCGATTGCGAACGACTTGCCGCGCCCCGTCTTTGCCCAAAACGTCGCCTCGTAGCTGTCGCCCGGCTGAAATGGCGGCTGTGGTGCAGTTTACCCCCCCCCAGCCGACCCCCCACCTAACGTACCTCGAGTCTCTGTTCATCTACAGGTGTGTAAAGTATACCAAAATACTCGTCTTGATCTGGCGAGTATTTTCGTATACATTACACACCTGTAGATGAACATGGAGCCGAGATACGGTAGGTGGGCTGGGGGGGGGGCTAGCTGGAGTCGCACCCAAGGTTAAGCCTAATTCTAACCCCCGCATACCCAGCCAATGATTCTCGCGAGCTGCAGCGGCTTTCCGGTCATATTAATCGAGTCGTCGACGAGAGCCATCGGGAATTCATCCTCAAACGTAGCAAGGTCCATGTCCCGCGTATGCGGAATTACGGTACATTCACGACGCCAACCTGAAAAAAATTGATAATGCCACAGGTAATTGGACACTTGTACCCAGTAAAGTACCACCATTCAAGAATGGTAGTGCCCGGTACTCGAAGTGCAAGTCGCGCACGACGGACAGCCAGTAGACGTCTTCCGGGATGATATTCGGCGGCTCGGTCGTGTTTCGAATGATTGTCACTATATTAGGTTGATCCTTTTAAGGTATAACCCCACAATTCAGACATCCAATCATCCTAGATCCAGCCCAGAGTCGAGCGTGGAATGCGTCGTCCCGTGGCACGAAGGTATTCCACTCTTTGGTGTAGGCACTCCTACGATACCCTGGCATTAATAGAGCTTCGAAGCGTACTTTGGCATGAGCCGGAGGTCGGAGATGTTCTCGGGGCGGAAGATCTCGAAGAAGTCGTTTGAAGGGGAATTGATGAAGAAGAGCAGCTCGGCATACGGGCTTGCTAAAGAAGCAAATAAGAGAGAGAGAGAGAGAGAGTGAGAGAGAGAGAGAGGGAGAGAGAGAGAAGAGAGAGAGAGAGAGAGAGAGAGAGAGAGAGAGAGAGAGAGAGAGAGAGGGTGAGCAAGGGACTTACACTTCTTGATCTTCTTAAAGTCGTCGGTCGTCTGGCCCTGCTCCACCTGGACGGCCACCGTATACAGCTCGGGTTGCGCCGCAAAGAGTTTCGGCGTGTACGGACCGTCTAAAAGGGTTTAGATAACGATCAATTACAACTTTATTATCGCGAAACTCCATCAGGGTACTTGTTCGTTAGCGGGGGGGAGGGCTTATTCAAAAATTTAACAAATAAACACAGACAAATGTTTTCGAGGATTTTTTAGAGTACTTCAATGGAAAAATTATGGAAATTAAATAGATAGAAATTCAATAGAAAGAAATAACCCTCCGCCAGCAAACCAGAACCGGAGCAACAAAAGCTCACCAAGAATGAGCATCTTCGGCTGGCGGGATGACGTTGAGTTAGGCTTAGTCGCCGGGATCAAGTCGCGGAGAGGAACGCTCGGGCGGTAGTAGTTCCACCTGCCATCTGAATCGCAATTCTACAGTTTTGACCGTGATTCTGACGGATGAACTCCAGATACCCCTCCAGCCGGGTCCCGCCTACCGTATATCGGCTCCCTGTTCATCTACAGGTGTGGAAAGTATACCAAAATGCTCGCCAGAGCAAGACGATCATTTTGGTATACTTTACACACCTGTAGATAAACAGGGAGCCTAGATACAAAAGCTGGATGCCTTCTGGGGGGTGGGGGGGGGGGGTAAAGTAAATTCTTACCTTTTTGACCATGATTCTGACCCTCTTCAACTCCTCGAAGATACCAGATGCCGGCGACGGCAACGAGCAGTAGAATGGCGTAGAGGGCGTGGCGCTTCGGTCCAGGCCTCGGCATCTGAAGCAAAACCAATAAAAACTGCGACGATTGGTACTGGGCTGTTAGCGGGGGGGGATATTTTAAAGGTGAAAAAGCTGTTTTTTTTTGCTTCTCCTCCCTCAATAGCGTGGCGTTTTTCACCGTTTTTTTCATTGAAAACAAACGCTACAAAGTGTCCCACTTGAAAGCATTTTTGTGACGTTTTGATCATCTTTGCGTAAAAAAACAAAGCACACTTTTCAGAATTTGTTCAAATTATTAGGTCAGCAAAGTCTTCCCAAATTTGACTAAAAAATTTGACTTTATACCGTCAGAAAAGTGGCTCGCATAACGCTCCAACAGGGGGCAACCGGATGCAAGGCTGAGGTCCGCCGAGAATAAATTTCACGGGGAACGGCTAAGCGATTCTCCACATTTATGCCTAATAATTATGTAAATTTCGGCAAAAGGTGCAAATACTGATTTCAGGGCGGTTTCCTGTCGTAAATAGTGTAATCGTAGCCGTATTCGTCGTTTAGATGCAAATTGTGGTTTTATGATGATCGGAAAGTTGCTGAAACGCTTCCCAATTGACGAGAGGGGAAAGTGACTCAATAGTCCAGTCACGGAAAATTCAACAAAACGGTAGAAAATGGTTCAACTCTTTTCCTGATTTTTACGCAATTTTTGTAAGGTATATATAGGAAGAGTTTTTAAACGGATTTCTGCTATTCCAAATATTTGTAATGTGTTCTTTTTCTCTGGAAATTATCTCCCTTTCCGTGCTTTTTAGTGCGAAAAACGTTATTAAAAAATGGAAGCATCTTTATTCTGGAATAATTTTTCGGATAGTTTGGATAATATTCGATCACGTTTCACCTCTGTCCATCTCAACGACTTTCCGGGCCCTAAAAAATGCCATAATTTGCATACAGGGACCGTGATTACGTAAAAACACATGTGCACTGCCAGGCCGACGAGGCCAATCGAAAACAGCAGCAGCAATAGGCCGATCACGTAAAAGCCGCACTCAACGCGGCTCATAAATTCGAAATAGGAGCGTCCTGGAATTGCCACTAAAGTCAAAAAATATCGATACTTACGCGCTTCCATTAGAGCTCTTCGCGTCAAGGTCTGACGTTTTTCTATAACATTCCTTATTATACTTTTTATGTGATGCTGATTAAAACCGAAAATTTTAACTATTTTTCAACCATTAAAAAATCTGAAGACAGATTAAGTATTCGCAAACGAATTTTTTACACTTACTAGTGTCCTCCACGCCCGGCAACTGCTTCTCTTTTTGGAAAAACTCATAAATGCTGATCTCGTCGGGGTTTCCATCTAAAAACATTTCAATACGTTGAAAAACACTATTTATATTAAATGTATAAATTTATTGAAAAATTATTACCCAGGGAAGGGTGGACGTCCGAAATCGACGTCGTCGGGATGTCCGGGTAGTGAGGGTACACTGAAAGAAAGATTAAAAATGTAAAAACCTAACCTAGAAATAAAGCAAATTCTAAAAACCACGGTTTAAATAAGACATTGAATGTTAAATTAACTTTTTAAATTTTGTCAAAAGCTCTAAGAAAATTTGAAAACATTCGAAAAACTGGAAAGTACCCCCTCAACAAACGTACCTTTATCAGCCTTCGACATCACTTCTTTTCAAACAAAATTAGCGACGTAAGGAGTAGCGTAGCGTAATAGCACCTTTCTACGTAGTATAAACTGCTATTCCAGAGATTTCTTGCTGACGTCCCCGGCCAGCCGCTCGGTATTTTTGCACCTGGGCCCCCGAACGCTAATTAGGAAGGTGAAATCGGCTCCGCCGGAAATCGCGAGCCGTCTCCAAGGTGACCATTCGGCCCTTCGGCTATCGGCTGCAAAGGACGAAAAGTGCAACAACTGCCCGTGGCACCTAGGCGATAAGTACGCCTTCGATTTGTGGAAATCCTGGAAGCTGGGAATATTATTAAAATTAGTTTTTTTAGCTTGACCCCGATGGACTTGACTTTTTCCACAAGTTTTCTACAGTATTTCTAATAGGGTACCAGAAGGCATTTAAATAGGTTTTTAATCAAATTTCGAGATGATTAAATTAGAAAACCTATTTCGAAAACTTCAAAAAGTTAATTTTCGTCAAAATTAGCAAATTTTGGCCGGAAAATCGAAACTTTGCATAAATGGCTCGAAAAAACCGGGTTACCAAGATATCGGGAAGGGGCATCAATTTTAGGACCCATTCGAAAAGTATTTAGGGGTAGTCGAGGGCGTAGATTACTGCAAGCTTATCAGATTTTTAATAAAATATCGATTTATACCTTATTTTAGCTATTTTAAAACATATGGAAATATCCTCATTTGCATACGAGGCGCTAGGAGGCTCATTTCGAATTTTGTCGCGCCAGCGGCCGGTTGCTTTTACCGTTTTTGGGTTCACTCTCGCTCTTCGCTCGAATTATGCAAAGTGCCCAACTTTGAGAGTCCCGTGCGCGAAGGCCAGGGGTAAAAAGCCGCGTAGCGGCTTTTCAACCCTGGTCTATGTTGAAAATTATACATGTTTATCCATTTATGAATAAAAGTCAATTAATTAGGAAGAATTCCTCTAATAAGTTTAGTAAAATTTGGTGGTAACGGAAATGAAAAACTTACGGTTTAATGCCAAACACTTAAAATTCTTTTTTTGCATTTATTTGTTAACCACTTCTCCGTAAAAAAAAAATCAAAAGTGAAAGCCCTAGAACTGATAAAAACTCAGCGCCTGCGTTTTACCGAGATTTTCCAACAATTTTTTGTGCAAGTGGCTTTATTCGGCGCACAAAATACCAAGACAAACACACACACATATCACATAATTACAACATTTTCCAAAACAGCGATGATACCCGACCTTTTTGTGTGCGTGTGGTGACACCGGTTTTTTTCCCCACAAAACAATAGACGAGCGATGGCAGAATTCCTATAAAAGTGATGGCAACAATTATATGGGGAGCGGGATAAATAAACGGATATAGGCGACGGATAGCTGCTGGGCAACGTGATATTTTAAAAACACACACACATAAAATGGGGGGACAGACGAGATATCGGGGGGGTATACGGTAGCTAGACAATATTTACACAAGAGTCGGCACGTTTTGGGGCAAGTTTCGCAGGTGAGCTTCGTGGCTGATCCAAGTAGAGCCGTAGGGCTGTTGATGATCATGAGCACGATCTTTAGTAGGTGCCAGGTTCTGGAAAAAATAACGTTAAAGAAGTTCACGTTAATATACATTTATTTATATAAAATCATTTCAAGGGCGAGTCATTTTAACAAAACATAATTCGCTCAAAAACATACCAAAAAACTCGGCCATCAGGTCCTCATCGTCCTGCAACGGCTGTTGCTCGGCCTGACTTTGGGCGGCGGGCGGGTTTTCGGCAGCTGCGGGAGCTGGAGCTGGAGAGCCATTCCCTTCGTTTACTAAAATTTTTAAATTAAGTAAAAAAATTAAATTGGTAGGTTTTACGGACCTTTCCCATTAAGGATGGGGGAAAAATTTAAATGACTGATTTTTCTTATAAATCCAGGACTGGCAAGCATAAAAGTAAGCTTTTTCATAGCCGTTTTCATAAATTTAACTATATTTAAAGCAAAAAAATTGTAAAAAGGCATCAAAATTCGTGATTTTATCGAAAATTGGCGTTTTTAAAAATCTATATTTTTTATTTTCATTACAAAAAAAACAAAGTTTAAAAAATAATGGAAGTCGAAAATCAATATATCTAAAAAAAATTGAAAACGCTAAACGATACCTTGGCCCTGGTTGGCGAACTTTTGGCGCATCCCGTCGATGACGGCCAGCGCGTCGTGGTGGGCGACTTGGCGCTGGTTGGGCTGCTCGGCCTTCGTCGGGCCCGGCTCCAGCACCTGGTAGATGTGGCCGGCGGCGGGCGGGATGCCGCCTTCAAGCGGGCGCAGGCGCACGATTTGGCTCTGTCCCTAAAAAGGCACGAATAAACGTAAAAATACACATTTAAAAAGCGCTAAATCTACTCGAAACTCACCAGCTTGCGGCGCTGCAGGATGTTGGGCGGCTGGAAGGTGCGGGTGGCTTGTTGCTGCTGTTGCTGAGACTGTGGCTGCTCTTGGGACACGGTCATCGTCAGACGCTGCGGCTGCTGCTGGGGCAGCTGGTACTGACCCTGTTGCGGAAGTTGGGCCTGTTGGTAGGCCGGTAGCTTGGCCGGGATTGGGCAGGAAGCTGAAAAAAAATAGAATTTTTACTTTCAGAAAAATAGCCATAAAAATCATCCAAATTGCAGGGAAATTCTCCGAAATTTATTTTTCAAATTTTACAAGTTTCAAAACTTTAAAATTCAAAATATTTGTAAAAGCACAAACCTGGCCCCGGGGCCGGACGTTTCCCGACGACGATCGACTGTTGATGACCACTGGTACTAGCCGCAGCGTTGGCGTACTGTACGGGGTACTGCTGCTGAACTTGTTGAGGCTGAGGGGCCGGCTGTGGCTGCTGCTGCTGGGCCGGGCGAGCGGCACGGGCAAACAGGCGTTTCTGCCCATTCTGCGTAGCCGTCGCGTCCTGTAGTTGGGGGATGGCGCGGCTGCGTGACGGGGGCATACGCGGCATGCTCGAGCTGTTCGGATACATCTTGATCAGGTCTGGAAAATAAGGGTTTTTTATGGAAATTTATAACTTTACGCGTAAATTAAATCTAAATAAATCAGTGAAAAAACGGGTTTTTGTAGAAAATAATCGCTTTTACGGAAATTTCGTCAAAAGCGGTAAAATTCATATAATTCAATTTTCAACGTTTTTAGAGAAATTTAAGAAAAAGGCTAACATTCACTGATTTTGTTTATTGTTTTCATTTATTTAACCCTATTTTTAAAATCAAACTATAAAATTAACGTACCGCTCGAGAACAGAACCTTCTGAGAGGGCGTCTGGCGCTGCGGGGCCGCGGGCTGCTGGGGAGCTGCGCGGAATCCGGGCGGCGGCTGTTGAGGGCGAGCGTTCACCGGGGCCGGCTGAAATTTACGATTTATAAAATGTACTTGTGAATGAGATCCACAAAATATAAAAGTTCTAAAACAAACCTGAACTGCTTGCTGTTGTTGCTGGACCGTGGCGCGTATTTGCTGAGGCTGCACGTACACAGGGGCGCCCTGGGGTCCCGGTGGTTTCGGCTGCTGCTGCGGGTTATGGTGGTACTGCTGCTGCTGGTGCAGAGTTCTCGGGACGGACTGAGCATATTGAGGAGCCGTGTGCGGCGGCAAGTGGACGGCCTGAAAATTAGTATTTTAATAAAATGAAACTTTCTATATTCAATACTATTCTGAACATAAACATTACAAATCCCGACTAGAAAAATCCAAAAATATGATTTTTGAAAGGCAATGGCCAACTTTCGACCAATATTGCGGGTTCCGAAATTGTTTTCAAAGTCTTTCTAGATAGTTTTTGTATTTGAAAAATATATACATTTTTACTTACAAAACATTAATAATAATCCGAATAATACGTAAACTTAATAAAATGTCTATATTCCGTTATGCTGGCGTTAAAAACCAACCTGTCGCACGGGGCCTGGATGCTGCTGCATGCGCATCGGCATCATCATCGGAGCCTGGGCGGCCGAGACGTTCGGGTGGTGTTGAACAACATATTGCTGATGTTGTGCCCCAGGGTGACCACCATACATTGAAGCGCCTTGCTGGCCCGACTGGCTCATCGGCGGGTAGTAGGGCACGCCCTGGGGGTGTTGAATTTGCGGGCTCATCGGCTGCTGCAGCTGCTGTGGCTGGCCATAGAACTGTGGGCTCGGGTAGCTGCACACGGGCTGCGTGGAGTTCGGCAGGCTGCTGGGCACGGTGGTCTGCACGCTGTTCTGCGCCGCGTTGACCGGCGACATGGCGGCGTAGTCGTGCTCCTTGGGGAAGCCGCGCTGCTCCATGTTTTTGGAGTATCTCCGCTGGGGCGACGGTTTCGGGATGATCGGGTCGCCGTGCGGCGAGGTGATCCGGACGACCTGGTTGCCGCGCATTGTGTGTATCACCTCGTACGAGCGGAACTTTGTAGGGGCCGGCGGGGGAGCGGCAGCAGAATTTTCACCAGACTTCTTGGCCGCTTTAGCTACGCCTTTTCCAGCGTGAGGCTGCCGTTTTGGCTGTTGCGCTTCTTGAGCAACCACTTCCGCGGATTGTTGTTGATCAGGCTGAGCAGCAGCTTCTTCCTCGGGCTTCGAGCTTTGTTGTTGGGCCGCCTCTTGCTGACTGGACGGCGAGGCTTTCGGGCTTGACGTCTGGAAATTGACAATGTAGAATTTGAAAATATAAAATGGAAAATCAAGCGCAATAAAAACAGCGTTTTTCAGCCAAAATCAGCTATGGGAGCCTAGAAATTCGAAAATTCTAGAAATTCTAAATTTCTATACGCTCTTTTAAATAAAAAAGAATAATAATGTTATTACGAACCTCAACCGGAAATACCGGCGATGCCGCCGATGTGGGCGGGCTGCCTTGATCGGTGGAGCTTTCTGGCTGCTGGCTGGACATCATTGGAGCCTGGGGCTGTTGTTGGGGATGATTCGACGTGAAGGGGCCTGCAGATGAGACCTAAAATAACAGAATAAATCTTTTCGAAATTTCACTAGATAGCAATTAACTGAACTAATGCACAAAACTGTAGTATATTGATAAAAACTACAGAATAATAAAATTCATATCATAGATGTACTCAACTAATAAATATCAATAAATCACTAAATAAATAAGGATGATGCACAAACCTGGGGCGCAAATTCGGGTGGCACTGTTGAAGTTCCCGCATTGCCGTAGCCATTTCCCGGGTGGTGCGGCTGCTGATTCTGCCTCGAAACCGCTGGCTGTTGCCCCGGGTTGTTTGGAACCTAAATGAAAATAGATAAATCTCATCTCATAATAAATAAAACAAACTATAGATCTTTCTCATATAAAAACAAAACCATACCATTATCGGGCGCGTCGGCGAGATGTACTCAATGTGGAACCCTTCCGGCACCGGGTTAAATGAAGGGGAGGCTTGCGGTGGTTGCTGTGGCTCGACGGGAAAGTGATCCGCGGTTGAAGGCTAAATTTAATGAGATTTAACGCATATCCGAAGCTAACCTCCGCCGGAAACCCGTGTCCCATCGAGAAGTCGTACGGCGTGGGCGACATGTGCATCGGCTGGTGCGACATTCCGGGATGACCGTACATAGATGTCCGTGGGTAGTGGTGGCCGCCGAACGGTTGCGCGTAGTACGGGTCGAAGCCGTATTCATGGGGAGCCGGGTAGCCGTAGGGTGGGGACTGGTCGAAGTTTTGGTCGTAGTTCACCACCGGGAACCCGTCCAGACTCCACGGGCTTGACGACAGCGGCGGCGACGAGTTGTAGGAGGGTGAGGGCCTGGAAAAGAATGGTATTAAACTTAAAAACTAGAAGGTAAAGTATATTATTTTTCGACAAAAACTGGTAGATTCTGTGCATGAATTTTTTTAAACGACCAAACACTTCAAACTGCCAACTAGTTTTCAAAATAACACCAAATCTGATAAATTACAGCAAAAAAAACTATTCTTTTTTGATTGCGCTTTTTTTGCCTAGGCATTTTCTTTGGGTGCCTTATTTCCTCCAGATTTCTTCACGACCAGATTTTTAGTCCCTTTTTATAGCGTTTTTATCGAAATTCAAGTCCTAAGGAAAAGTAGAACACTACTATAAAAAATTGGAAACAATGTAGAATTTTTAAACTATATGCAACAAAAATAAAATTTAACAATTTTGAAATTTTCGGTGGCAATCAGGCTGTTTACGTTCCGGAATTCGCACCGATTCAACGTCGTTTCCATTTGCGCGGCTCCTTGTGGCGGCTGTATACCGGCTGGTGCGGCTTCCAACTGCTCGTTCTCCCAGCGCTCACGAGTGTCAAAATCGCTGAGCATCTTTTGGATCGAGCGACTAAAAAGTGAGTGTAAGTTAGGGAGTACTAATTGTAAGCAACGAACGGAAGGAAAGTAAACAACTAAAAGATAACCCTAGTAAATTTAATTAAAAACAACCTCCGGTTACTAACTTAAAGCAAAGAAAAAGATAGGTACTAATTTAAATTTAGCAAGTTAAAGTAAGTAAAATAAACCAAATCAGTTAACAGCAACCACTGACTAATTTAACTAAAACTAAAGCAAAAAAAAAATCAAAACCAAGTCCAGAAAAGTGAGTGGGGAAATCTTTAATTTCTAGCAAGTAGTTTCCGAATCACGATTGTGAAATGGGACTTCCTAGTGGGTCCCGCCCATCTGGTGGGCGGATCCGCTTATCATACACCACCGTAGTGGTCGAAAATAGAGGCGCATTAAAAGTTGTCCTAGGAGGACGGTAAAGGCTAAATCTTATCATCTTTAGGTCACTAGGTCAAGTTTTGTCAGTTCTATTAATGTAAACGTCAACATACAAAAACCCTCACTTTTTTAAGTCTCAATAGTTTGTAAGTTCTATTAATGTGAAGGTAAATACACTAAAACATTACGTTACTAACGTGCTCAGATCACATTTTGTAAATACCAAGTTAGAAAAATCTCGTATGCCTTATGACACTAGTTCAAATTTTGTAAGTTCTATTAATGTAAAGGTAAAAACACTAAAACACTACTTTTCTTAGGCCGTTAGATCACATTTTGTAAATGCCAATTTACAAAAAACCTCACATTTCCTCAAGACCAATCTTATTGGCCGTGTCGTTGCGGGTGATGAGGACGTTGGCCTCGCGTAGTGTGTCGACCTAGAAAGACTAAAATAGTTGACACCAAAAGGCACTACCTTCCCGACGACTCGGTTACCGCGCAGACCATGGGATTGATTGACCTCCACGCGCAAAGCCTCGAGTTCGCTGGCGAGCTGGAAAAGTAGAAATTTTACTGGTTTAACAGCTAGATCGTCCTAAAAATGCCAAATAGCTCTCCACCGACCTGCCGACCCCGTATGATATCGCCGGGGCTAAACGAAGTCTCGACCTTTTCGGGTTTGCGGCCTTTCTGGGATGGTGCCGTTTCCGGTGGCGGTTCGGCCGTGGCTTCTTGTATTGCTGGTTTTTGGGGCGTCTCCACCTCCATCACTTGCTGGGATCGATTCTGGAATAGCCAGATTTAGCGAATCAAAAACGACGAAAAACCACATAGGAGAGGTTTCTAGGGCTTACGAAGCCGATTTCGACGATTTCAGTAAGTCGGGGAGCAACGATCTTGCAAAAATGAAATGTCTGTGAAGTCAATCTTTGGCGTGCACGTTTTCCAACGTTTTTATTTCTTAGTTTTCATTTCCATAGAAGATGAGCTAGAAAATCGTTAGCTCTTTGCAGAAAATAAAAAACAAAGGACGTGTTTTTCCCCGCCTGAAAAAAAAACAAATTACACCGCCGGTGGACAGTTCTGCGTGCATAGGAGCGTCGCGTACTGCGTGCTTCGAAATCGAACTTTTATATAAAAGTTAGAGGTTTTTGTTTTTTTTTTGCTTGTGCTTTACACTCGTAGTTTTATTTCGATGAAAGGAAACGGTCTGCAGGGGGTTTTGAACCCTCGTCGAGAAACTAGCGTCCAGGGGACTGCTACCTTCTATTAATTATCGTTTTCAGCATTTCTCAGCAAAACTATGAATTTGGGCGGGGTCATCGAGGCCGATAAAAGGTCAGTAAATGGCGCGATGATGTCAAAAGTGCGCATAGCTGTGGGCGACGAAGCGCAGATGCGGGAGCTGCTCGCAGCTGCTCTACGAACGTTCTAACGTAATTCCCCTATTCTCGACGAAAAACCGATACAACGCCCAGTAATTCTAATCAAAGAAAATGAAAAGAGCTGTAGCAACTCAAGAGGCGAAAAACGCAGATGGTTTTGCCAACGCTATAACGTAATTCCCCAATTCAGGGTCCAACGCCGATAATTTGTCCAATAATTCTTGCGCAAACGTCTGGCAACCGGTTTCTAAATAAAATGTGGTTGAACACGAGTCTAAAAACAAAGCCAAAAACTCATCTGGTAAAAAAGATGTATAAAAACTAGCTAAAAAGTAATGTGACCCCCGAAACGTGAAAATCAGTCTAAAAACCCTATCAAAACTCCGAATCCGAACTTATGCCCCGTTTTCTCTATCTATAAAACCTTCTCCGTGTCCCAGCCGGTACTCCAATAGCTATAAGTAACGTGTTTCTTTTAGAGGTCCTGTGAAAATGCCACCGGTCGTGCGCACCTCACCCCAGAAAACGGCTTCCACGCGGAGGAACGAGCACAAACGGATCGACAAGGTAAGCTTTCGTTTTTAGCGTTGATTTTACGCTTTTTTTAGGTACGTCGCGAGCGGGTGCTGCTGAACGACACACTAAATCGCGTCCACAACACCCAGCAGACCAGAACCGAGGTAAATTAAACCTTTTTAAAACGAAAAATTGTTTGAGAGCCTCGTCATCAGGGACGCCATCCACACGCTACGCGCTCAACGCCAGGAAGCCGAGATGATTCGACAGCATCGGTAGTTTTTATGTGATTTTTGGTACAAAATTGCCTTTTTTTAGCGAATACCTTCAAGGCAAGCTGGCTCGATACACGCTCAAATATGGCCCTCATCCCTTGATGTCTAAGACCGGATTCTCGTGAGTTTTTGTTCGTTTTCTTGAAATTTGAAGCCTTTTCTTTTCTAGCCCCTAAACTGCTCATTACTTTGTTTTCAGTGCTCCCAACGTCCTCAACGGCACCAGACCCGGATTGCCGCAACAGCCACCTGCCGCAAACCCTAGCTGGAAACTCAGTGAGAAAGATCCTGCATGGGTTGTCTTCCCGTCGTACGCAATGGTCAATCGTTCTTTCACAGCAGATCGCTACATCCCGCAGACGCCAGAGTCGTCGGCGTCAACTGACAAGGAACCTTCTCGAGGTATATTAAGCTCATATTTTTATCAAAGGTACTTGACTGTTGGCGGGGGGAGGGGTAATTTTTGTTTTTACGCCAATACCTACCTTTTGATATACTTTTAACTTTACCTTTTGTTTATAGTGCTTTAGCAGTTTTTGATAGCTAAAAAGTTATAAAACATATTTTTAATTTTGAGAATTCGAAAATTTTAGCGGTTTTTAGTCATTTTTTATACATTTCTGACCAAAAAGTCAAAAATGTTCGAGAATTTCTAAGTTTTCTGAGCTTTTTATATCGAAAAACTGTATAAAATACGATCGAAATAGCTTCTATTGCATTAGAGCGCAGTACGGGTTACTTGGAAAAATTGTATATCGTTTAACGTTGTAAATTTAGTAGGAATACGAATTCTAGATTAACGAAATTCTTGGTAAGACTCCAGATACCCCCCAGCCGGCACCCAACTTTTGTATCTCGACTCCCTGTTCATCTACAGGTGTGTAAAGTATACCAAAATGTTCGTCTTGCTGTGGCGAGTATTTTGGTATACTTTACACACCTGTAGATGAACAGGGAGCCGAGATACGGTAGGTGGGGGTCGGCTGGGCGGGGGGTTATCTGGAGTTTAGCCAAATTCTTTTTTGCAGCATCTACACCTGGCTTTGCCGAGAAACATCCAATGCTCTGTGGGCTATTAGCCTCACCAACGCCGTGGTACGCGGGGCCAGAACCGAGCACGCATGATGCAAAAGAGGATGTGCTTGACGAGGCCACCTTCATGAAGGCGATCAAGCTGGTCGAGGAGCGCATCACGAGTACCGAGCAGTTCAACAACGGCACATTCACAAGCTCGGCCAAGTCGAAAGTGCCCGATCAGCCATCGCGCGCGCTCGAAGATTCATGGCTGGATCGGGCCTGTGCATCCGTGGCCAAGGGCGAAGTCGAATTTGATGATGGCGTCTTCGACTTCTTTGATGGTATAGATTTTTTTCTTAGAAAAAAGTGGTTGTTTTTCTATAGGCTTACGTACGTAATTTAATAATATTTTTAGTTTGTTTAGTCATATTCTAAATTTAAAACGGTTTAAACGTTTTAAATTTAGCTCGAAAATTGAGATTTTATCGCGAAAATCGATACTTTTTAATTTTTTTTTTTCATAGTTTTTTTGTCGCGCTTTTACGTTTAATAATAACAAAATTAAAAATACTTTTTCTTTTAATATTAGAACAAATAGATCTTGAGAAAATCCGAATTCTCCTTAACTACTAAACACGCGTTCACCTATTAAATTTTTTAGACGACGAGCCGAACGGCTCGAAATCACCGAGTGACCTGAAGGTTCCAACCTGATGCAGCGGTCAAGTTAATGTAAAAGATCCTCAAATTTTGTGAATTCCCAACAATTTTCTAACCTACGCTCATTTCTTCTGTATATCCTGTGTATTTTTTTCGAGTGGCCAATCCTCCCAAGTGGCGAAATTATGTGAATTACCTTTTTTATGTCGATCCGCACAGTCGTGTTTGTGTATTTTTTGACGCTGTATTTTCCTTTGTGTTTTGAGATTCGTATTTGAGCCGGATATTTTATAACACGGGATAACAGTAGTAGTAATCTACTAAAATATACCTCAATTTCAGAGCCTTGTGTGGAAGGTTATAGCGTTTTTAGTGTTTAGAGGAAACAAAATACCTGGATTTTTTGCGTGTTTGCGTGCGTTTTTTCCTAGGCTTGAAAAATCACAGGTATTTATTACAGTGTCTATGGTATAACAGCTATAGAGATTCGGGCGGGCGTAGAATCTGAGGGAATGATAGGTGTTGATTATAAGAAAGGGAAAGTTGGCAAGGAGCAGGACTTGTAAAATCTAGGATATGTTTTTCTAGCTTTTTTCGGTTCTTTAGGATTCCCGGGGGAAACAAATTTTTTCCTGGTTTTCCCGGTTGACCTAGTAATCAAATATAAAGTGTTTTCGAATTGTTTTTAGTAAGTTTCAAGTATATTTAAAGCAGAATAACTTTCAGAAAAATTTAGAAAAATGTTTGAAAAAGTCGAAAATTTGGTCATTTTGGGTCTATTTTTCGACCTAATTTTTAATTTTTACATTTTTTGGTTAAAATGTGTGTAGTTTTTATGCACAGGAATAGTTAAAAACAGTTTAGAAACGCATCCGCAATTTATACAAAAATCTAGGCTTTCGCCGAAAAAATTTGTTTTCCCCCGGGAATCCTAAAGAACCCTTTTTCGTATATACATATGTAGTAGCAAGTTTTGATCATTATGTAGGTATTAATTTTCCGTGAACAGCGTTGTAGGGTAGTTATTATAGAGAAAAATGGGATTTTTTTGAAATGTCACTAGTTTCTTTCTGGGATCAAGAGTCCTATTTTGGTGTTATCAGTTTTAAAAACGCTAGGTTGCGGCTACAACCTTGTCCTCGGCCACCAATTCTGGTGCAGGCGATAGAGAAGCCTCATGCTCGGTGTCTTGCTCATGGCGCGCTAAAATTGGGCTTATTCTTCGAATCAAACTCGGAGATCCTAACCTCGATCCCTGGCGGCTGCGCATTCGCCTTCAGTGCTCTAAGAAATGGCCTTTAGTTTTTATTGTAGGTTTTAGTTTTCAAACCTTTCTTTCTAGCTTGTAACTTACCGTTAGCATATACTTGACCAACTCCTCCCCGGTGCCCTTGGCCAGCTGCTCGTTCTGGAGCCGATTTAGCTGCCAAAAATGTACGCATCGCATCTTGGCGCACCCGTCACGCACCTCATCGTAGGCGACTAACATAGACAAAATTGCAGGAAAAACTACATTTTATCTTACGCTGATGCTTGCACTTTTCAAAGGTATCTATAGCTAGGCCAAGCTCCACATCTTCCATTTCCGGGTCCACATCTTCCTCTGTGGTTCCCTAAAATTCTTAATTTTCGGATGGATAGCTCTTATTACCTTCTTTTTCGCCGCGCGTTCAGCCGCGTAGCTTCCGACGACGATGCGGCAACTTTTTTTGAAAAGCTTCGCTCCCGACGTCGTATCAGAGTTGCGCTTTTTGGGGTTCGGCGCGCCGGGGGAGTAGGAGGAGCCCCGGGAGGTTACGCTTCGGTCTGAAAATTAGGCGATACTGAGCTTTTTTTAGAATTAGCTATCTTTTTAAGTTTATTGTAAAGTGGCAAGATCGTAGCTCAAATTACAAACCTTCCTCCCTGCCCCGCTTCCGGCTCGCCGACGAGTTTTGGCGGCTGCGCGAGTCCTAGATTTTTTCGTTGTTTTGAGTTTTCATGCTCACCTCCTCGTCCTCCTCTGAATCGTCCCCATCCTCATAATCCTCCTCATCCTCGACCCCGTGCGGAACAAGCTCACTTCTGCGCTCCGTCGGCAATTTGCCCTCAAAACGACGCAGCTCGTCGGGGGAGTCGCATCTCTTTGCGGTATTGCTCGTAGGACCTAGATTTAAATTTCAGATTTTTTTATCTTTTTGTTTTGGCTTTTCCCAGCCTTTTTTAAGCGGGTCCACTTACTTAAATGGTAGTTTAATTCCATGATCGCGGCACTTTTGCTCGAGATAAAGGATCGTTTTGATCCCGTGTAAGAGAACGTCTCTCTAAAAATTTTTGTATTTCCGCTAAAGCTTTTTATCTAAAAACCTTGACAAATTTGTGCTTGCGGCTCAGCTCGGGGTTGATCCGGAAGACGTGGCCCTTCAGGATGGCGATGATGTCGTTTTGCTGAAGGTTTTTAGTTTTTAGAAAAGTAGATCTGGGCTGATTTTTGCGCTAAAAATTACCTCGCTAGCGCGCTGACGCTCGTGCGCGTTACGTGAGGCGCGAGACGGGCTGAGGTCAGAGTCCACGCGTAACGCCGGCATCTTGGAAGATTTATTTAGACTTAGAATTTGTTATTTATTGAATTTGTCAAGAAAATAATGACAGGTAGAGAAGTATAGAAATTTAGAAAATACTTAGAAATAGAAGGAATGCCTAACTCTTTAGAGCGTTAAGTCCCAAAGAAAATCCCTACAGGATAAGCGCGTTCCTGGCTAACCTGCCCACCTGGTTAGGGGCTTGCTTCCGCGCTAACCTGACCATTAGCCGGGGATTAGAGATCGGCGGTTAATTGCTGTGCCCCGACCCCGGATGGTTCCGCGATTGCATTCAAGTTTCGATCGGAATTCGTTGGATTTTAATGTTAACCGATCTCGGGATGGCTATAAATATACGAAACGTAGTGAGCCAAAAAACGTGTTTTTAATAATATTTATAGCCTTAATTAGTCGGTTTTATGGTTCAAACAGTGCCAGTAATCCGGATTTTCCAAAATTTCCGGATTTTGCGGAGGAACAATTTAGTTTTGACGTAGCAGCAGTATGAAATTGAAAACGTTCGTAACGTAATCGATGTGCTGTGCGTAGTTTTACAAGATTTACAATGTAAAGTTCCGGACTTTTGGCAGCCGAATCGTTTCAACATTTTCAAATTAACGTAGAACAATACAGTTTCACTTGCGAGCAAGTAGTTTTAGGATATTAGAGTAGCAGAAACAAGTGCAATGACGATAGACATAAAAACAGATTGCGCAGATGGCGTTACATCATGTTTTTAGAAATTAAAAATTTGCTGGAATCATAATTCAAGGAAGCGTCCGGATTCCGGGATTTTGGAAGTTTCTGTATGAACAACGTGTTAAGGTATCTAATCGATACCTGCCGGCGCAAACACGGCCGCTGCCGGGCTAACCATTCTTTTTTGGCGGTAACCAGGTCGTCGCCCGACGGCAGACGCCCAGAGCATAATGTCCGTGGCGTGCAGGTTGTGCTTCGTAGCCCCCGAAACACAGATGCCCCAGATGGGCGGCCTGCGAAAGATGCGAGGGAAACTTCGGAAAAATGTAGAATTTTCAAGGTCCTTGAGCCTGAGAATTCCAGGAAGTCCGATTGAAGCCAGAGAACCGGCCGATTCGAGCAAATTTTTCACACGGAAAAGTCGTAATATATTTATAAAAAAAATTGATACGAAAAAGTGGGTTTCCCTTGATAACCCCCCGATAATACGAAAGCTCCAAAAAGTTGACTCTCTCTCTCGCTCTGTCTCTCTCTCCCTCTCACTTTCTCTCTCTCTCTCTCGGGCGCGCTCTCTCTCTGTCTCTCCCTTTCTCGCTCTATCTCTCTCTCCCTCTCTCTCCCCTCTCTCTCTCTATCTCTTTCTCTCTTCATGGTCAAATGCAAATATGACATCTTCGAAAACCCATTTATTCTCATCCTCCCTTGTAAAAGCTCAAGCACAATCTTCGTGGATCGGTGCACGGACACGAACGTGGAGGTGAGCCGATTGATTGGCGACCGGGGGGAAATTACAACGAAAATTCATATAGGAAATCGTTCAAAAAATGGGGCACGTCGGTCGCTGCACCATACGGTCGTTCGGCTCGCATTGGAAGGCTTGCTGAAAAAGCATTGATCACGGCTACCCATGCGTAGTACGGTAGTACGCTCCGCTACGCAGTGGGCGACCGCACGCGTTGTGTATTGCTATGATTACAGCATTTCAAATGTCTACCTTGTAAAACAGGATATTTCGACACTTTTCGACAAAACCCCTACCGCGAACGCCTCCATGTTGGCGAACATGGCGTTGATGCGGATGCGGTTGGCCGAATGCGGGTCCCACTCGCCCCGATCCTCGAACCACTGGTGCTGTGTCTTGTCGTAGCTCTCGCACAGCGTGACGGCCTGCGCGTAGAAGAACAGCTGCTCGCGCCTCACGTCGTCGAAGACCACGCTCTGCGAAGGGTCTTGTGGCGTTTTCGGGTGAATTGGCCTACCAACAGCGACGCCTCGCCACCCTGGCCTGTACGGAGCAGCTCCTTCCTGAACGCCTAGAAAACGTCGTTCGGCAACAAAGTGACGGGGCGACCTTCCATGCGATATGCATCCCGATGAAGTCGGAGCGGTCCTCGGCCATCGTTGCCGCGCCCGAATGGCACTCCTAGAAAAACACGGTCGTTTTCCTGCGGATCTTGAGCCTTATCGGGGGCGGAAATAACGGGCTTGAAATTGTGTTAAAAGCGGAGTTAGATCTGGTCGCCCCCCGCTAACAGCCCAGAACCACCGTACCCCCTCCTTCCACAGCATACACGCGCGCGACGTCCGTTCGGCGGTGCACTCCTCGGTGGGCCTGTTCAGGTAGGGCCTTCTCTTAAAGTCCATGAGGTCAGATTAATCGATATTCGCCTACATCGTAGTCTTCGGCGAAGGGTACGGCGTGGACCAACTCGTGCGCCACAGCGAAGCCCATTGTGGCGTACTAAAGAGAAAGAGAGTAAGAAAGCGCAAGGAGAGAGGGAGCGAGAGAGAGAAAGATAGAGAGAGAGAGAGAGAGAGAGAGAGAGAGAGAGAGAGAGAGAGAGAGAGAGAGAGAGAGAGAGAGAGAATGGGCATGAGAGCGAGAGGGTGAGCATCAGAATAAGAGAGAGAGCGAGCCCGACCGCAATCGCCAGATCGAGATTCGGCTGGGCGAGCCAGGGCGCAATCTCGGCAGCCGAGATCGACGCGAACTTGTACATGTAGTGACTGCCTAAAAAATTGGACGTTTTCTATTTCTTGATCAGCTACGCACGCATCTCATCGACGGTCAGAGCAAAGATGCGCGAGTCCGAGGCGAGCTTGTCCACGAGCGGCTCGGCGATCGTCTGCACGAAGTACATGGATTCCACCGGCCATTGACCTCCGGCCTAGAAAAAAAAAGTTATTTATAAAAAGGTTTAATTTTTACGGTTTAGGCATTTACGGTTTGGGTTTAGCTTTTTGAAAACCGCCTGAGAAAAAAAAACGTTTGCTCGTCGATAAAACAACATCAAAAAATCGTACAAACGTATGAAAAATGGCCAAAAACGGTCAAAATTTTCGAATTTTTAAAAGCGTTTAAAATATTTTTTTTACAACTTTCTTAGAATCAAAAAGTGCTAAAAACGACAGAAATAGGGTATCTATTATCAATAAGCGAAAAAACAACGAGTTTCGAACCAACCAAATGCTCGCTCAGCTGCTTGTCCAAGCTGTCCGCCAGCTCTTTCATTTTGTCGAGCTGCGCCATCGAGTCGTCGATCATCGAGTAGAACACGATGGACTAAATCATATTTTTCAATTTTTTCAGTTCTCAGTAAAAAAACGTTATTTCGCCTTAAAATGATTAAAAAAATAAAAATTAAAAAATCTGCCCTTTTTCGCGATTTTTTTATACATTTCTGACAAAAAAAGAGAAAAATTATTATATTTTTCATCTTCATAATTTTTGTACCAGATTTTGATGGCTAAAAACGGCATGAATATACCCGTTTGAACGCCTCCACCGTCCGGGCGTGCAGCTCCTCGTAGCCGGGCTCGCGGCCCACTTTCTGAAAAGGATCAGGAAGTCCGAGAAATGAGCATCAGCCGAGTCATAATTTGCATAAATTGTCGCTTCGCATTATCGAAAAAATACCTCAAGCAACTCGAGGCCGACGGCGCGCAACTTCTCCGCCAACTCCTGGAACTTTCCCGGCTTTCGGGTCCAGAAATACCCCTAAAGTTGCCGGAATTCTCTAGATTTTTCGTAGAAGCACGCTACCAAAAACTGTTCCAGGTAGCCGATCCGCCTGCGCAGCGCCTTGACCAGTCGAGATACTGGAATAGCATGGAGGTGTGTGAACTTGTGGCCAGTGTTCACTGTATACTCCCGTAATTTTTGGCAATTTTGACTAATTTTGGGTATTTTCGCAATTTTTTTCGACATTTTTAATCCGCCATACGATAGAGCGTCAATAAATACGCTAAGAATTTTAATAACAGTCCAAAAAAGTAATATAGTTTAATTTCAGAAAAAACAGTCGGTAGCAAAAAACGCGACCACCCCCACCTGCATACTGTACCCAAGCGACTCGATCCAAGGGTCCGCGTCCTCGTGGCGACGCCACCGCTTCTCCATGTCCTTGTCTACCTAAAAATAGACAATGTTCTTTTTAGTGTTAAAAAATTAGGGAAATAGATTTTTAAATTGATGAAAGGTCGAAATTCGGTGCCGGCTTCTTAGCAGGGGGGGATTTTTTGCCGGGGAAAGCTAATTTTTCCAAGTAACCCGTTACGTTATTATAACAAAGTAAAAAATATTTTGATAGCATTTTACGCAGTTTTTAGATATACAAAGCTTATACATTATTATTAAAGATCACGCAATTTTCAAAATTTCTCATTTTTTGCCAAAACGTATGAAAAATCACCAAAAAGGTAAAAATTTTGAATTTTCAAAATTTTCAAAGCTTTTAATAACTCTGGCGTCAAAGCCCGCTAAAAGCACTATAAAAATATAGAAAATCGAAAGTGGTTTCCGCCGCAAAACACCCCCACCCCCGTTAACAGTCCAGTACCGACTTTCTCTAGAAAATAGATAAAAATAGAAACACGTGCCAAACTGTTTTTTTTTTGCGTTTTTGAAGCATAAAGCTATCCCCCCGTTAATGCCAAAGATCCCAGAAGCTTGCCGACCTGCATGCGTGCCCTGTTTCGCGCCAAATCCCTGCTGTTTCTGCTGTTGTCGTGCTCCCTCATCCAGACGGGCAGCCCTGCACCCAGTTGGGACACGGGTATTTGGCCATAAAATCCGCCCCGTCGCACCGTCGCATTTGGATCGTCTAGACAACATTTTCGGGTGCTTTCGCATTATCGGGGGGGGTGTCGAAAGTTCCATGCCGGATTCCCGAATCCGCATGGCCCTTTCGAGGAAATGCCCAGGCAGGGGTGGTCCGCGACGCTCTCTCCTGCGCCCCCTATACCGTAGGGCGGCGCCCGGAAGTGAGACTCTCTCGAGGAAACCAGCACTCGATTTATTGGCGATT